CCTTGAATGGCTATAAAACAGGTTTCAAATTTTCTGTCACCTACTTGTTCTTACAAAGCATCACACAGACAGTGGCTGTCAAGATTTTAGACAGATACTGGTCAAGAATTAGAGGTCACTGTTTCCAACATGATACCTGATAAAGAAAAGCTGCATGTAAATTTACACTTCTCATGAAAAACATTTAAAAGTATGTTATTTGAAAATTCGATATAAATTCAATAGTTAGTATTATCCCCAATACTTTTTATTTTCTCTTCTTTCAAGTACTAAGAATATGTATTGAATTCTTTTTCTGTAAAATTCCATAGAGATGCTCTCAAATCCTGTCTAATTCACCCAAGTACCATACAAACATTATGTATTTAAAGTATAATAAAGTAAAGAAAGGTGAGAAACATGTATCTAGCTAGCCAGAGCTGACTGAGAAAAGATAAGGTTCCCAGAACAGACGAGGTGAAGAAAGATACTCCCTCATATTACACGCAATATGTCTTTGGGTCACAAATGTCTATTATTCCTGACTTTTATTAGAAATACATCCTTTAATAAAGTAGATTTCCTTCCTTCGTACAATTTGAAAAAAGCCAGATATTTTTTCCCCTCAACAGATCAGCTTCAGAATTTTTTTAACGTTTTCCTAACATATAATTATCATCTTCCAAAGACCCAAAAGTGTTGTCAATGCGACTGAAATCAGAATGTAAATATTTTATAAACAGCTGTCAAATCTCAATTGGCAGAAAACAAAAAGCCCCCGAATTGCTGTAATCGACCCACGAGGCTACATCGTTTAATTGACAGATGAGACATTTTTCTAGTTTCCACTTTCCCATCAGCATTTTAATACGTTACCACGGTATGCCATCCTGGAGAGTCACTGTGACAATTTACTTGAAGATGGAATAAATTCTGAAATGCTCTCAGGGAGATGCCTAGCGCAGTAACCGAATTCTGCTTCATGGAACATTCTTCACACTCAGTGTATTTGGAATGGCTGTTACTAACACGGACTAAATATTGGCATCAAGGGAATGTTATCCTGCCCATTTTTAAAAAAAAGGCAAAATGCTCTTAGCAGTTCAATAATTTATTATTTCATTCTTTTGGGCCTTCATTCAACAAACAGTTCTGATCGTCCACATGTCAGGCTTAGCTAATAAATCTTTGTAAGATCCAAAGAACTGGCCTCCGCCACCCATCACCACAGATCAGAAATACTGCTCGTAAAAATACCTGAAGCGATCCCTCCCAAAGATTTACTGTTCTTTCCTTGTGCCCTGCTGTCTGTCCCTCTCCCCAGAATTTTTTTTTCATCTTTACTTTTATTTTTTTTTTTTCCTTCCTTCCTAAGCAATAGACTCTTTGGGGACATCTGTAAGCACTGCTTAATTTTGGGGGGGATATTTGATCTATGGCATTTTCTGCCTCTACATTCATTCATTCGCTAAATATTTACTAAGCTTCTTGCAGGGACCAGGCATCCTTGTAGGCACTGTGGGCTTTGGCAAGGAAGGAACAGATAAGGCCCTGCCTTCACCGAGCTTAGATCACACTATGGCAAGAGATAATAAACCATAAACAAACATGGCTGAATTCTTCACGTCTGGCCTAAATCCCTTATTTTTCACGTCTCTCCTAGATCCCCTAAGTTCTATGCGTACGTAGTTTTTGCCATCCATGGGTATTTTCGTATGCTTTACAAAATAAAATTTCTAGTTTTTAAAAAGAATTCAATTTGGGTACCTGGTCTGGCGCTCATATCCAGAGAGTGGTCAGGGAAGGCTGAAGCAGCTGACATCCGAATTGGAAGGACCAGGGACACACAATGCAAGCCAGGGGACTATACTCCAGGGCCCCGGGGGTGTCGGGGGAAAGAACACAAAGAAACATTCAAGGAACAGTGAAAAGGACACTTGCTGGAGTTGGGAAGCAAGGAGTCAAGTACAGGTAGAAACCGGATCGTATGGGATGTATAGGTCATTGTTGTGCACTGGGGGTTTTGCTCTTAATGTAGACGAAGGGAGTTGAAGGGTTTGCAACAGGTCTCCAGCAGGAGAGTAATGAGATGTACTCCGGGCTCCCCAGTCTCCTGGAAGCCAGGAGACCATCGGGAAGCTCACACAGTTAGTTGTCCAGGAAAGACAGAATGCTGACCTAGGGCAGGGTTGTGACAGAAGAGACACAAAGAAATGAAGAGATTCAGGGTCTATTTGAAAGAAAAGAAAGGGAAAGGGAAAGTACTGAGAAATCGTAGCTTCAGTGGCCAAAAGGAAAGTTGGACTTTAGTAGATGCGGCGTTTCCCTGCCTTAGCAAAGGGGATCTGACAAAGAAAGCTATTATTTTACACAAAGAGAATATCAGAATATCTGACACCCTCCATTTACAAATAAAGAACAAAGGTCCAGAGAGGTGAGCTGGCGTTTTTCAAACCTTGGAAGAGTTGGCTGTCACCTGCACTGCCCCCCTCGTATTTTCCATTCCAGAGACTTTTCCATTACAAGCACCTCCTTCCCTGACTCAGCTCAGTACCTTATTCAATATTGTGCCTGACTTTCTTTGGAAAGGAGTTCTTTATATAATTTATCTTTTACCTGCATTTTCCCCCGATCCCAACAAGTGCGAGTAAAGGAACAGAGATTGTTGGAAGGAGAATATTTAATATTTGGACCATAGGTTAAAAGCTGAATTGTGGTGGCCTTATTGAGACCATGAGTTCTAAACTTTTACTGCCAAAAAAACCCCCAAAAAACAAACAAACAAACAAAAAAACCCACCTTGGAATTAATATTTCCTTCACTTGCTTTCACAGGCAATTCCAATCAAATCTGATCCCCCCAAATTAGAATTTTCTCTCTTCTTCTTCTTTTTTTTTTTTTTTAATGTGGAATAGTCTAAGTTCACTTGGTTTTATAAGTGGATAATCCAGTGGAAATTCTGGCTTATTGAAGAGCAAGCATTCAAAGGGGTAATGAATTGGCGATGTTGCTGACTAGCCAGCAGATGTGAATACCGAAAGCATAGGCTCTTGGCATATGCTGTTAGGATAGGCATCAGGGTAACAGAGGACAGGGAAGGGCACCGGAAGGTCCAGCTCAAACCTCAACCTTAACACTCAGTGTGTGAGTTTCCCCATCTGTAGATGGGGATAATAACACTTACCCTGACTGCACACTACTGCCAAGATTAAAGACAGGCATGTCTAGCACAACCCCCGGGTACAAACGCCCGTGAATCAGTGCTGTCTGGACTGGGCTCCGAGTGTCAAGAGATCTAGAGAATCAGGGATTTATCGGAGTCATCCCACAGGAGAGCTGATGGTAGGCTCACCGGAGGGCAAGAATGTCATCAAGGAGTCAAGTTCATTTTACCTTCCTGCTCTAACATCTCTGGCTGTGGCTTTCATCCTTGGGATCTCAAGATGGGGGGGGGGGGATTGTGCTGTGTATCAGGCATGTTCTTTCCTTTCTGTATTTTATGATGTTCTGAGATCTTAAAACCTTGCTGCTGAGGGAGAGCCTACCTCTGTCAAGGCTAGCCAGTTCTTTTCATTTATTTTTATTTTCTATTTTTTTTTGAAATAATTTATTGTCAAGTTAGCTAAGGTACAGTGTATACAGTGTGCTCTTGGCTTCAGGAGTAGATTCCTAGGTTTCAGCGCTTGCATACAACTCCCCGCGCTCATGCCAACAAGAGGGCTACCCAGTTCTTAGAGACAGCGAAGGGCGTGGCCCAGAGCACATCTTTCATGTGTAAACCAAGCAACCCTGGATCCACAGTCCCAGTTCTCCTCTGACTCACACACCAAGCCAGTGTTTCCTCAGCCCTAGGTCACCCAGCGGCCAGGGAACCACCCTTACAGCCCAGAGTCCCTCACACGGTTTTAACTGGCCAATCCTCAACCGTATGCCCCACCCTGCACAGCTGTTCCCACAGACACTCCCAGGAAAGACTGCTGACTCAGACTCTCTCCTCTTCCCGTCTTCTGCCTCTTGACCAAACCTGGTGCTTCCTCAGGTGGCCTGGTGGCACAGAGTGGCCCTTCTCTTAGTATATGTACGGAAGAAATTCTCCTTTCAATGGCATTGACCTCTCCATGTCAACACTCAGTCACCTCCACAAATTAAAATCCGTGGCTACAAATGTTAGAACACCTTTCCAGGTAGGAAGATGAAGTAATAACAATATTCCCAAAATATTCTGCTCTTGAAGCTCTGATCTTTTAAGTCAAGAAGGGAATGAGTGCAGGAAGGGAATAAATTCAGGAAGAGAAGTCCTCCCTGGGGCCCACCATCCAGGGTCATTAGTGAGAACCAGGTTACGTGGCCTCAGTAAAGGAGTCTGGGAACGTGACGGTATTTAAACAAGGCATTTCACTGACTTTCAAAATACCAGGATGATGATGATGATGATGATGATGATGATGATGATGATGATGATGACGATTTTTGGAAGGAAGAAGGGAGAAGGGATATTGACTAGGGCAATAACACTGTCTGCTGAATAGAGAAGGTATTAACAATAACATTGAGAGGAAATGGAGCTTTTTCACAACGTTGCTCTGTCTTTATATTCACTATCAGATTTTGTATGGCGTTTTATATAAGGTGATATATGTAAGCTTCTATAAATTAGACAAGCTATAAAATTTTATAGATGCTAAAAATTCAAACATTTGGCACTAATTTCCAATAACCACGTCTTGCTACACTTAAGAAACAAATGAGTATTTGAAAGAAAACAACATTTCATATTTTAACCGACATGCTTTCATTGTAATTTTGAATATTATGAGCAAAAAGCCAAAAAAAAGTATCTGTATTAAGACAAAAATCAAGCACGACTGTGTTATCTATGTTGAGATGCACAGAGAGCAATTATAAATCATACTTGAAAACACCAACTTACAAATTCCTATTCCTCATTAATCTGTTTCACTGATCAAGCCATACATCCTTTTTTTTTAAACCAGAGAACTCAACCCAGAAAAAGATCTTACCTCATAGTACCTCAGTAGAAGTTCTGAATGTCATTTATTTGGCCTCTGACCAGAACACAGTTGCTAGAAGAGAATTAAGAAAATAAGGTTAACATAGAGCCCCGGGATGAAAAAAATCAATAGGTTAAACAAAAGATTTGAGGCAATGTACGAAAATTATAGAACTTTCTGGGGAATGTGATCCTGGTACTGAACCACCGCATATCACTGACGAGGATACAGGTGGTCAGAGAGTTAAGATCCCTGTCATTGGCAGAAGAAACACATCTATTGACTTTCTACAAAAGGATCTTTGTATAGTTCCACTCCTCATACCCATCAAAGCCCCCGTCAGAGTGAAGGGACACAAAGGGAGAAGAACAGAAAACAAAAGATACTGCACATCCCTTCATTTTACAAGTTAGTGATGGTACCCTCCTTTGTTAGCAAAGGGTTAACAAGTGGTACCCTCCTTTGTTAGCAAGTGGGTTAATACCATCTACCTTCCTCAGAAGCTTTGGTCCGCTACCTTCTCCAGACACGATGGACACGTATACACGCAGTTAACTCCTGCTTAGGGCCCTTTGCACATTAGGAGAGGGTCAAATCTTAACATCCCCCAACCCCGTTTCAGACACTGACATTCACATTTTTTTTTAAAGTATATTTATTTATTGTGAGACACAGAGAGAGTGCAAGTGGGGGAGGGGCAGAGAGAAAGGGAGAGAGAGAATTCTAAGCAGGCTTCAAACTTTCAGTGCAGAGCCCGATGCGGGGTTCAAACTCACAAGCCGTGAGATCACGACCTGGGCCGAAATCAAGAGTCAGACACTCAACTAACCGAGTCACTCAGGCACCCTTGACATTCATATATTTAAAGTGCATAGAGCCTGCCATTTAGGCTAGAACCTTAGGAAAGCTTTTAGAAGGTTGCCTAGAGAAAGAAAAAGAGACACCACGTTCCATGGGGAGAGAGTGAAGGAAGCGTGCTCCTGTGAAGGACGTCACGGACAACACAGGGTCGGGAGGGAACCATAAGTGCTATGGCAGAATTGGGGGTGGGGACTGATAAGATGTGGCTGGATTTTTAAAAGGAGAACCCTGCAGTTTCCTGAGAGGGGAGAGTGAGGTCAGACCATAGGAGGGGAAGAGGCCGTGAGGTGAGAGGGTGAGGGTTCCCAGGGTGCGTAGGACGAGAGGAGCTCAGGGCAGCCTCTGAGAGTGTGGTCTGCAAGATAAGCCTGGAGACAGAAAGAAATACTTCATTCATAATGAAAAATAGATGCGTGTTTTGTGTGTATCTTTTGTTGAAAGTATCGATCTTCAGAAGATTGGGAAAAAGGAAAAAAAAGAAAAGTCACTGGTGCTGCCTCGGTCTGAGAAGCATTATCCTAGAGAACATTCCTCCTTTGCTGTCTCATTCTCCCTGAGGGCTTCTCAGTCTGCTATTGCCTGCACTGGCGGAGCTCTCAATCAAGGGACCTCTCTCACTCTGGGAAAAGGGTCCCGGACCCCAGTGAAGCCTCACACGGTTCCTCTCCCTGCAGCCCCAGCAGAGGAGGGCATCCTCGGGAAGGAACAGCTGAAGCTGATCATCTCCTGAGAGCATGGGTAAACTGAGGCTGTGGCTGTGAGTGAACAGAGGTCACTTGAATCCAGGCTCTCTGGCCTTTTCCACCTATGGCCTTGCTTCTGGTAGATCCCAGCATCTCCTCAGGAAATAATACATGTATTATGGCACTTCAAGGGAATGTGCGACAGCATTAACACTCCTGTTGTAACTAGAGGAAGTGCTAGGAAAAGCATCAAATAGCATGTCAGTGGGAGGATACAGACATTTCTCTCTTGTCTCTAACAAACCGGATGTTTTCTGCCAGGTGGGGCATGCCAGGGAGCCTAGACTTCATCTTTCACCGTTGATTCCTTATAGAATCTAGGGAACCCAAGGGCAAGTGGATCTCACTGAGGCCCATGTCAGTCCTGTCACTGTAACCTGCAAAGTCCCCCACGCACAGTAATTGCTCAATACGTATTTGTCATATGGATTTTATCATTAAAATGAACGGTTTTCCAGAACACAGTTGAAGCAGAAGTAGAAGTCCTAACATGCCTATGTATTAGGATTATGATCACTTGAATATGTAAATACATATCTCAATAAAATAAAATTAAGTCACACATTTAATGATAAAATAAACACTATCCAGTCATTCAAGTGTCTGCTAATAAAAATATCTCATTCACTACATGAATCAGAGAACAATAACTGAGACTGAATACCTCAAAGAATCTCTAAATTTCTCTAATGTTAGACTCGGCAAAGCACTCATTGTGAGAACCAGTGAGAGAACTGGCTTCCATCATAACTTCAAATTACTTCTATCGCAAATTAACCGCACATGACATTCATTGAGGGTGAGCGTCAGCTCTCCGAGTATAGATGACAAGCTCTACCAAATCCCAGTAGACACAGCTTAAAGGGTTATATGATGAAAATATGATTGGCGATTCCAGAGATTGTTGTCGTAATCTTGCAGTAGGCCAAATAAAGAGGAACACAAAGCCAGACACAGAATAATAAGGAAGCACAGATGAGAAGATTCTTTCAATAGCCAACAAAACATTACTTTTAGGATGTGTAGAGAATAGGCCAACAAAACATTACTTTTAGGATGTGTAGGCTCTTTTGTTAGTGTCTTTAATTGTTTCTTTGTGTCGTATCAGTGGGTATTTACAGAGGTAATGAGATAGCAACAAGGTGGCAGGTCTGGACTTTTAGTATAACCATCTGAACGGTCCCATTTCCTTCAATCTTTTCCAAAAACTCACATTATTTGCCTACTTCCTAATTATTGTGAGCAGGCATATTGCTCTGATCTCCTGGGAGACACAGAACACTTGAGCAGATGTTTTGCAATCTAAGTGAGTGATAACTGAACCCACAGCCATCTGATGTTTAAAATATTTTTTAGTTTATTTATTTTGAGAGAGAGAGAGAGCATGAGAGCAAGCAGGGGAGGGACAGAGAGAGGGAGACAGAGAGGATCCCAAGCAAGCTCCGTGCTGTCAGCACAGAGCCCGACGCGGGGCTCGAACTCATGAACTGTGAGATCATGACCTGAATCAAAATCAAAAGTCCTATGTTTAACCGACTGAGCCACCCAGGTGCCCCACAGCCATCTGATTTAGACAGCCTCATACCTGCTCACAGCTCCGAAATAAATAAGCTTAATTAACTAATTTAACTTCTGGTATTCAGCTGAAATTAGATCCCAGCCTCTTCGGAAAGATCTAGAATATTCTCCTTTTTAATTTCATGATATAGCTTTAGTTTTTAACTTGCTTATCAAAGACCAAAATAACACGTGTTTTGACAAAGTTGTGTCTGACAGCCGGCTTTATGGGAATAGGATAAATATGGTTCTAAAAATGTATATATTATGCTAAGTCTGGTTTGCATTAAGTTCTTATCTAAACACAGGATTCACTAAGTATCTGCATTCATTCAGATGTTGTGTTGGACCCTCACTAGTTCCTTTCAAAGTCTGTCTTCTCATTTTTAAGCCAGCCTATCCAGAAAAAGGAAAGACAGATAATTAAAACATGAAATTGTTCTTATGAATGAAATGATTCATTCTTTTGTTACTCTTCCCAATTTGCAGATGAGGCTCGGGGATCAAATCACTGTCTCAGAGCTGTCCTGTGAGTGGTGGGTAGAGCTGCTGTCCAAGCTTGGCTCCTTTGCATTTCCAGTTGCACATAGTTGTAGCGGTAACAACAGCGACAAACATCTACGAACGCTCAACATGTTGCAGGTGCCATTCCGAGCCCTCTGTTTCTTTTTTAACGTTTGTTTATTTTTGAGACAGAGAGAGACAGAGCATGAACGGGGGAGGGGCAGAGAGAGAGAGGGAGACACAGAATTGGAAGCAGGCTCCAGGCTCTGAGCCATCAGCCCAGAGCCCTACGCGGGGCTCAAACTCACGGACGGCGAGATCGTGACCTGGCTGAAGTCGGACGCTTAACCGACTGAGCCACCCAGGCGCCCCCCGAGCCCTTTGTATACACCCGGTCATTTAATCACCACAGCCCTAACTATTGTTGTCTACATTTCATAGATAAAGAAACAGCTGCCTGTTTGCTCTGTGTTGGGGCACCACAGCTCCACAGGGATCATTGAGACCAAATTTGGCGTTGCTTCATCTTTTTCCATTTACCATTCCCCTTCTCTGTCCTTTCCTTCTTATTTTACTTCATCCAAGACATACAATTAACACCACTCTCGGTTTGAATGGGTAGAGGTGCAGCAGGTCCAGCAATATCCAAAACATTTTTGAGATGTTGCTTTGCCTGTGCTGACGGTCAATGGATCTTGATCTGGGCAGCACCGTCAGAATTTTTAGTGGATCCTGAGCCCTCTAAGATAGATAGGCAGGCTCTACTTTCGTATTCCTGAGAACAGAATACTCTGGAAGGGGAGAGGCGGTAAGTGGGAATGGCATTTGGGAGCTGAAGAAAAGCTCCCACTTTGGGGGTTTGCTGTCCAGGAGTGTTGCCACACTGCAGTGTCTAAGGAGCCATAGCAAAGCCAAGATGGTGGGCAGTGGGCCTGCTTGATGGGGGACACAGTCTTAGAAGCCTTCAAGGCAGGTTCCGTACTCATCAGGATGGGAGCAGACTCGGTGGCTCATCCGAGCTGACAAGACCTCAGCCAGTGGCTGGGAACACGGGCAAGGTTTAGTAGTCTGGAGTGAGTGCCCTGGTCATAGTGAAGCATTTCCCTGGGTCCCTAGCCTTCAGAGGTGTGTTGAATTGGGGGCTGGGGGCATCTATTTTAAATAAGAATGAGAAGAGCAAACCAGGATTTGAGGATGATGAACTGTAAACACTGGCTCTGCCAAGGCCCACCCTGGACCTCTTGGAGGTCACAGGATTCTCAGAAGCTGCCAACTGGAGAGGACGAGTCTGCTTCTTTACTACTCAGGACCTGGGCACGGCTGAGTCTTGGTGGCTGGCAGTGGTCAATTCTCACGGCTCCGGGAGCCTGAGGTCAGTAGGAGTGGCTACTGAGATTCTTATAAAGT